CTGCACTTTTTTGGGAAAAGATTTATGTATGGATGTAAGTTATAGTAGTCTTTTATTTGACTTGCTCATCAATTGAAATTTTTTTTTCAATTTTCAAGAAACTTATTAATTTTTAAATTATGGTTCCTGATTTACAAATAATCACTATATATCTTTGTGAGGTACAGTATGCTTTTTTTGGGGGGGGTTTGTTAAGGGCGTGTGTGCTTGCCAGAAAGACAGAGAGAAACAGAGAGACAGAGAGTGAGAAATCACCCCCAGGGGGGATGGCCACACCGCAATTCCTTCTTTTCCATTCTCCTCTTGGGATCTCGGGCATGCATGCACTTGCGCTCAGTGTGAGTTTATGCCACTGGGACTCAAACTGTGGTCGACTACATGGGAGTCCAGTGATATAGCCATTACACCAACTGCTGGTCCTGGTACAGTATGGTTTTTCTTTTTTTAATTTTACTATTATTATTTATATATTCAATCACTATACATCATTTAGCTTGCGTAGAGAATTTACCCAACATGAAATACATCTTAGACTAGTCGAGTCGAGAATACTATACACCTCATCAACAGGTAATAAACCATTTCTGTGTCCCACAAATATCTTACCTCTCTATTTTTTTCTCCCTAGTTACCTTCCCTACTCTCTTCCCCTCTCCCACCCTCCTTCTACCCGGTCTCCAATGTCCATAACTACTTTCAATGGTTTTATATCCTCTAATCTTTCAGTCTCTACCATAGAGTGCAGACAATCAGTATATAGTAAGTGGAGACAAATAATGTCCCTCTTTCATAGCCTGACTTGCTTCACCCAGCAATAAATCCTCCATATTTGACCACTTTCTACCAGATGCCAGGGTCCTGTTTTTTTTTTTTTTTATATATTAGGTGGGGATATACAATGCTTCTCTTTCATAGTCTGGCTTGCTTCGCTCAGCATTAAATCTTCCATATTTGTCCACTTTCTAGCAAATGCAAGGGTCTCATCATTTTCTGTGGCTGAGTAGTATTCCATCGTTTGTATGTGCCACACTTTTTCAATCCAATCTGTTCTTGGTCATTTGGCTTGACATTTTAGCAATTGTGAATAATGTTGTCATAAACATGGATATGCAAGTGTTTTTCTGACTGAGTATATTTCCATCCTTTGGATAGATACCCAGGGTTAGAATTGCTGGATTGTAATGGTAGTTCTATTTATAGGTTTTTGAAGACCCTCCATATTGTTCTCCGCAGTGGCTGGATCAATTTACATTCCCACCAACAATGTAGGAGAGTTCCTCTTTCACCACATTCCCTCCAGCACTTATCATTTTTTGCATTTTTAACTTTGCCATTCTGACCAGAGTTAGGTGGTATCTAATTGTGGTTTTGATCTGCATCTCCATTGTGATGAGGGATAGTGAGCATTTTTTTTTTATATGCTTTTTGGCTATTCTTTTTTTTTTTTTTTTAATAGACCATAGATTAGTTTATTTTTAACACCCATCATGCCATGAATTCATAGGG